TAAATTAAATAAATAAAATAAATTAAGTTAAATAAATTAAATAAATTAATTGATTAGTTAATTAATTAATTGAATTAAATTAATTAATTAAATTGCGCAAGTAATTGAATTAAATAATGAAGAAAATATAAGCACTTGATAAAAATAAATAAGTAAAATTAATTAATCAAAATAAAATAAAATAAAATAAATAAATAAATTAAATTAAATTACATTAAACAAATAAAATAAAATAATAAAACGAAACGAATAAAGTAAAATAAATTAGATTGAATAACATAAAATAAAACAAAACAAAATAAAATAAAATAAAACAAAATAATAAAACTAAATAAAATAAATAAAATAAATAAAGTAAAATCAATTAGATTAAATAACATAAAATAAAACAAAATAAATAAAACAAATAAATAAATAAAATAATAAAATAATAATAGTAATATACCGCCTGCTAGTACGATGGTGCCGTAGAGGGTTCTTCTTAAATCCAAGTCAGTGCGCGATATCGCAGAAATTATCAACTCATGTACACCTGAAATAGCAGCAGCAGCAGCAGCAGCAGCAGCAGCAGCAACAGTAAGAACAGCAGCAGCAGCAAAAGCAGCAGCAAGGAGTTAGAGCGACAGAGTGATGCGATTGAAATAGAGTAAAGAAGGACAGAGGAAGAAGAAATATAAAAATACAAACGGCAGAATAAACAAATATAAAAAACATAAACAAATAAATAAATAAATATAAATAAATATATATATATTATATATATATATATCTAACGCAGATACAGCAAAGGAGACAAAGACAAGCATCAAACAATAACCCCCTAACCCAAAAACCACTGCTACTGCTGCAGCAGCAGCAGCAACACCTGATGCTGCTGCTGCTACTATTGCTGCTGCTGCTGCAGCTGTTGCTGCTGCTGCTGTTGCTGCTGCTGCTGCTGCATGAGGTGTATGTACAGGTAAAGAATTATATTACCTGGGTACTCCAAACCAATCAGAGACGGGTGAAACAAAATCTCAGGGGCTCTGTATCGTTCTACTCCGACCTGCGGAGACAGCAGAAGAAGGCAAGCTTCTTTTGTCGCTTATTTGCTTGTTTAACTGTCTCTGTCTCTGTCTCTTATTATGCTTCGCTGTCTCTTTTTGTGCCGCTTTCTCTGTCTCTCTTCTTCTGTCTCTCTGTCTCCTTTATAATTATATATTTACTTTTTAATTATACAAACGAAAGACAAACAAAAGACAAAAGGAGACAGCATTGTAACAAGAGACAAGAGGAGACAGCATAAGAAGAGACAAAAGTTGTATAAGAAGAGACAGTATAAGAAGAGACAAGCAACAGACAAAAGCAGACAGCATAAAAGGAGACAAAAAGAGACAAAAGGAGACAGTACTGAGGAGAGACAAAAGGAGACAAAAGGAGACAAAAGGGGACAAAAAGAGACAGTACTGAGGAGAGACAAAAGGAGACAGTAATTCAAGAAGAAGAGACAGCACAAGAAGAGACAAACAAAAGACAAAAGGAGACAAAAGGAGACAGTAATTCAAGAAGAAGAGACAGCACAAGAAGAGACAAACAAAAGACAAAAGGAGACAAAAGGAGACAGTAATTCAAGAAGAAGAGACAGCACAAGAAGAGACAAAAGGAGACAAAAGGAGACAGTAATTCAAGAAGAAGAGACAGCACAAGGAGAGACAAAAGGAGACAGTATTGTGAGAAGAAGAGACAGCAGAAGAAGAGACAAAAGGAGACAAAAGGAGACAGTATTATAAGAAGAGACAGCACATACAGCAATAGAAGTGCCGTCCGGCAGTTGAAAGGGGTAGCCGCCCCCGCTGCTGTCTGCTGCATTTGTCTCCTCCTTCTGCGGGTTGAAGGCGACGTAACAAGCTTGCTCTTTTATCTGACGCACGATCTCAAACTCCGCCTGACACACAAACCCTAAACCCTAAACCCTAAACCCTAAACCCTAAACACGGAACACGAAACCCTAAACCCGAAAGCCGAAACTCGAAACACGAAACACAAAACCCTAAACCCTAAACCCTAAACCCTATTCGGGTTTAGGGTTTAGGGTTTGGAGTTTCCAGTATGTCAGTATGATGTTTCTATTTGCACACAGTGAATTAATGTATAAGGGTTTAGGGTGTCTGTCTCTTATGGTTTAGGGTTTAGACTTTAGGGTATTTGAGTATATTAGGGTTTAGGGTTTAGGGTTTACTATATATATATATATATATATATACGGTAAGATGATGGTTTCTCGTTTTGTGCAGAGAATTGTTGATATTTAAAGACTAAAATCGTAGGGTTTAGGGTTTAGGGTTTGTGGTTTAGGGTTTGTATGTACAGATGTATGAAAGATATGTCCTGCTCTTCTGAGAAGAATAGAGAGTCTTTCTGTGACATCTCGTCCTGCTATATCTGCTCTTTTAATTGCATGCGTTATACCGAAACCCTCAACAACAGGAACAGCTACAGAGACACCGTCTCCAACATCTAA